CACAACTTCAGACACCCCTCACCAGCTTTTCTCCTTCTCATTATCTGGGCCAACAGATTGCTATCCTTTTCCGTCCGTTTGGGAAGGATGGGAGGCAGACAAAAGAGCATCAATCTAAAGGAATCTCTCAGCCATGAAGGGTCTGGAGGGTGTTCTGCTCTATGAATGGGACCAGACACCCTTTGGGAGAAATGTCACAGTTGTCCTTGACGACACGAGGTCCTGAGCTGCTCCTAGCAAAGCAGGATTGGTGTGAAAGTTGAAACCACCCACCACCCAGCACCAGAAGCCAAGAGGCGGCAGCTGGCACCCCAAGACCAGCTCAGGAAGAGAGGCCATTGTGCTGGCAAGGGATCGAAACGGAGAGTGTTAGATTGCCCACCTCATTCATCCTGGTCCCTTGTAATGCAGCTCCCAGACAGAAAGGAAGGTCACCAGAAGGACCCTGTGAGACACAGAGCAGCCTCCTCTTCACATTCCCAAGCAACTGAGATTCAGAGGCATCCTGGAGCACCTCTTTTCCTCTAGGTCTGTGATAGAAACCCAAAGGTTCAGTATCTCTCTTTCACAAAAGGCTGAAATCCAGTTGCTCTTCTCAAGTACAGGAAGACCCTATGAAGCAACAGGGTTTACATGCTGATTGCTCTTTCCTTACACCTACTCTAGTGGAGACTAGCCATTGGATTTAGGCCATAATTTGGACTTCCCCCCCCCCCGCAGAAAATCACTCTTCAGTGATGGAAGTGGATCCTCTTTGGGCCTGTTCTTGAACAACAAAGGGAAAATGGCCATAAAAGACCAAGACCAGAGGAAGCGAGTTGGTTCTCATGGCGCTCAGATGAGAAGTAGATAGCTTTGGGTGAGAACTCTCGGAATTATAGCAACCTGCATATTACGTCTTTAAGAGGTTTGGATGGGAGGGGCTTTGAATGAATGTCAACCACATCGCAGCAGCCAATTGTACCTCTCTGAACCGTGGTTTTAGGCATCTAGTTCAACTCCCCACTGTGCCTCTTCAACAGCGGCTGGACTCCGTGATCCATAGGATCCTTCGCAGTTATAATATTCTAAGATCAGATTCCTTTTCCTGCCTTTTATAACTCAGTCGAAATTCTATGTCAGTTAGGCTCTGTCAGTGTTCTGTGAGTCTGACAGTAATGGAATCAGCAGTTAAGAGTCTATCAAATAATTAACTAATTGAACTTGAACTATGTAACAATGCGTTTTGATGGTTCTTCTGATATATAGGAAGGTAAAGGTAAAGGTTCCCCTTGACAATTTTTGTCCAGTCGTGTTCGTCTCTAGGGGGTGGTGCTCATCCCCGTTTCCAAGCCATAGAGCCAGCGTTTTGTCCGAAGACAATCTTCAGTGGTCACATGGCCAGTGCGACTTAAGACACGGAATGCTGTTACCTTCCCACCGAAGTGGTTTTTATTGATCTACTCACATTTGCATGCTTTCAGGACGCTAGGTTGGTGGGAGCTGGGACAAGTGACGGGCGCTCACTCCGTCGTGTGGATTCGATCTTACGACTGCTTGGTCTTTTGACTCTGCAGCACAGGCTTCTGCGGTTTAGCCCACAGCGCCACCACGTCCCTGATATATAGGAAGACTTGTGAGTAAAACTGAGGCGCCATTACCAGTTGGGGTAAAACTGACTAACAATAAGGAGGTGGTATATAGAGATGGGCATGTTCAGGGCTTCCCTTTTGCCAAAGCAGACTGAAGGTTTTTTCCCCTTTCCCCATAGGTCCTCTTGCCACACATTACACCTATTTCTCCCTGTACCTCATATATCAGCCTTTTAGGCCAAAAATGGGTATGCATTGGGGGGGTCCAGAGATAATCTTCTCTATAAAAAGTGGTATTATTAAGAGGCCCACCTTGCGTCCCACTTAGCACTTAGTGGAAAGGAGAAGTGGGCGTTTGGGGTTTTTGGAGAGAGTGGGAAAAGGGAAGGGTCTGAAAATATGGGAATTTGGGTGAATGATGACAAAAGAAAGTGGTTGTGACAAGATAAATGACATTACTTGATGGTTTAAAGAAAATAATCTGAAGGAAATTACAGTAGGCAGCAACAGGACTAATGAGGTAGGGCTGCTCTCTCACTTGAAGGAATGTTTCCTACAAAGAGCTTTTTTAAAAAAAAGATATCCTGCCTATAAATTTAACAAGCGAAGAGCAACATTGTACATTTGAGAAAATGAGCCATATAACCAGATCTAGAAGGCCGGCCCTTCAGAAAGGATAGAAAAAGGGGTTTTCATCATGGAAATTGGACATTTCATTAAAAAAAATTCTTTCCCCAAATAGAAGAGAGAAAACAATATGGAGTAAATCATAAAATGAAAAGCAAAAAAAAGGTATCCTAGCAAAATGTGACACCACTCAGATGCTGAGAAACAACATCCATACAAAGGGGGAAGACTCTTTGGATTTCTCAATACCGGCAAGATCTCCTGCTTCCTTTTTCATCCTTTATTTTTCCCCTCCTTGTCTCTTTCAGTGCTAGATTAGTAACAGACTTAGCAGGGGGCAAAAAAAACCCCTCACAAATACTCCCACTGTTTTCAGAGAAATGCCTCCCATTTCTGTTCCTTTTCTGATCGGAGGAAGATATGGAACATGGAAAGGTTACCAAGAGTGGCCATATTTCACCCCTCATTGTTTTGAGTCTTTCTCTCATTTCAGAGTTCAAGCAAATCATTTCCCTCACATAAGACAACCTTCATTTGTAAACTGTGAACAACTGTGGCTTTTCTGGTGCAGAGCGAGGTTATCCCTTCGACTGAAGTTCCTCCCGCACTCTGAACATTTATACGGTTTCTCCCCTGTGTGGGTCCTTTGGTGATTAGCAAGAGTACTGTTGTGTCTGAAACTTTTTCCACACTCTGAGCATTTATACGCTTTCTCCCCTGTGTGGGTTCTTAAATGGTTAGTAAGGGTACTGTTGTGTCTGAAAGTCTTTCCACACTCTGAGCATTTAAATGGCTTCTCTCCTGTGTGTGTTCTCTGATGGGAAGCAAGGTTACCCCTCTGTCTGAAACTTTTCCCACACTCTGAACATGTATATGGCTTCAGTCCTGTGTGAGTCCGCTGATGGGCAGACAGGCTACCTCTCTGGGTAAAGCTCTTTCCACACTCTGAGCATTTGTAGGGTTTCTCTCCTGAGTGGGTTCTTTGATGGTTCGCAAGGTGGTTGCTCTCCCTGAAGTGCTTTCCACACTCCAAGCAAGTAAACGGTTTCTCTTTTGTATGGGTGCTTTGATGGGCAGCGAGGTTGCCCCTCTGGCTAAAGCTCTTTCCACATTCGAGGCATTTATAGGGTTTCTCTCCCGTGTGGGTTCTTTGATGGACAGCAAGAGTACTGCTGTGCAAAAAGGTCTTCCCGCACTCTGAGCATTTGTATGGTTTGTCTCCTATGTGCCTGCTTTGATGGGGAACAAGGTTTTCCCTCTGACTGAAATTCTTTCCAAATTCTGAGTATTTATGTAGTTTCTCTTCTCTGTGTGTTCTTTGATGGCTACTAAGGTTACTGTTGTGTGTGAACTTCTTTCCACACATGGAGCATTTATAGGGTTTCTCACCTGTGTGGATGCTTTGATGGGTAGCAAGGTTATCCCTTCGCCTGAAGCTTTTTCCACATTTTGAACATTTGTAAGGTTTCTCTCCTGTGTGGGTGCTCCGATGGGTAGCTAGGTTACCCCGCTGGCTGAAGCTCTTGCCACACTCTGAGCATTTATATGGTTTCTCCCCTGTGTGGGTTCTTTGATGTACAATGACATGTACCCTACACCTGAAGTCTTTCCCACACTCTGAGCATTTAAATGTTTTTTTCGCTTCACGTGTTCTTCCAGGTATGCTAACATTTGCTGTCCGAGTTACATTATTTGCCCATTGAGGGAATGTTACTCTTTCCTTCCTGGCGTGTCGTTTGTCCACCAGTGGAACATCAGGACAGGCTGTTCTTTGGGTACGGATAGATTTCTCCCCCCACTGGTCATGGTCTTCCATGTCCCTCTTTCTTACACAACCTGCAGGAATAAAGATAGAGGACATAGAAGAGGCCAGTGAGGCGAATGGCCATTGTCAACTTGGCCACTTGGATTGACTACTGTAAGTTTAGAGTGGATCCCCCCTCCCCTGCAAAGAAGCTATTATGCACTTCTGTGAGCAGGAAAGGAGTTAAACAAACAAAACTGCAGCTATCTTTGAATACAGTGGTGCCTCGCAAGACGGTATTAATTCATTCCGCGAAAATCGCTGTCTTACGAAAACATCATCTTGGGAAATGAAAAAGCCCACTGAAATGCATTGAAACTGGTTCAATGCGTTCCAATGGGCTGGAAACTCACCGTCCAGCAATCCAGTGTCCAAGATCCTCCATAGGGGTGGCCATTTTCGCTGCCTGTAAAGCAGGGAATCCGTCCTGAAAACACAGCAGGATGCCATATTGCACAGCGGGCGGCCATTTTAGAACCGCCGATCAGCTGTTTCAAAAATATCATTTAGCGAAAAATTGGTTCCCGAAGCAGGGAACCTATCATCATGAAGCGAATTTTCCCCATAGGAACATCATTTTGTGATTGCAAAAAATTCATCATCAAGCGGTTTCATCGTTTAACGAGGCAATCGTTAAGTGAGGCACCACTGTACTACTGTCTACTCTTCTCTATTGTTTTAATGATGGATTATTTACCATATTGATCTTATGAGTATGGCCCTTTCCCTTTTATCCTTCCGAAA